CCCCAAAACCCCAAAACCCCAAAACCCCTGGGGAGAGAATCAGAATTGAATATTTTAAGTTAAGTAATGAATTTAGATGGAATTCAAAGCAAGGAGAATTATGTTGTGAATACCTTAGGTGATGTTTCACTCTGATTCCAAGGTGCTCTTTTAGATGAGGAAAAATGTAGCATACTCAATCTCCCAGTTCTATTTTGTCATAGAGGGCAAGCCTTTAAGCCATTTCTGATGTCTCCTTTGATGATGAATGTATATCCTGAAATACAGATACAGCAAGATTTGATGCATACTATTCCCATCAAAGGAATGGATCATAAAGCTATTAAGGATGTTTGTGGAAACAATCCTCCACTTCTACATAAACTAAACAATAAGTCTGTATCTCAGAGAAAAATCTCTGCTTGTTCTTGACATGCATATCCTAATTGCTTTTGTAAAAGAAACAGTTCTGAAAACTCGGACATAAAATCAAAGACACAAAAGCAATCGGAAGTTATCATTCAACAACCTGACCAGAGCCAATCCCAGTCTCACATTGCTAGTGATGATATTTCCTTCCTTGACGATGAGCCTTTAAGCAAAAATGCAGCCATCCTTGAGAAATATCAGTATTCTGTCAGCCTTCAAGCCTGCAGGGGTCCTGGTCGCAAATAAGAAAGTTATTAACTGTGAATTCAGAAACTGTAACAGGAAGTTCAGGAAGGCTTGGAACTTTATTGATCATGCTCGAATGCATTTAAACCAGCGACCTTACCAGTGTAAAATCTGAAGGAGACGGTTTACTCAGAAAGGCAATCTAAACAAACATCAGACGCTTCATTCAACATAATTTGTAACAAACTTTAAGTAACTCTATGTCTTTACCCTTTGCTTCCTTCAGATACATAAGAAGCAATTGCCCTGATTATTGTTTGCTACTAAATACTTTCAAAATTTCATATAATTTTGAATACAGTTACATAAAATCGCTCTATGTATCATTGTCAACATCCAAAATGTGTATCTAGAATTTTAAGTGTTGGGAGTGTTTTCAAATAACTACATCACACAGCTAACTTTAAAATTTTGGATTTACACTCCAAAGCCAAAATTCTAGATATGCATTTTGCGTTTTGACAATGGCATATCTGAATAAAAAATTGAACAACTTTTAGTCCAGATGGGCGCAAAGTTTGCCCAACTGCTTACCACAGCTTCATCACAACTCAATCCCCCACCTACCTCCTAATTTCCTCATCTCAAAAATCCCAACCAACACATTCACCCAACCCCACACACATTACACCCCAACACCACTCCTCCAACCATCATCCCCTATAACCCCCACCACAGTTACATTTCTCCCTAAAATATCTTTCCAAATCTTCAACCAGTCCCTCTAAACCCGGGGTTTTGGGGTTTTGGGGTTTTGGGGATTGGGG